TGTACATCATGGTGACTACAGTTAATAACAATGTATTTTATACTTTAAAATTGCTAACAGTGGTTTTCAGGTATTCTCACCACAAAAAAATAAGTATGTGAGGTAATGCACATGTTAAATATCTTGATTTAGCCATTCCACAATGTATACATGTATCAAAACATCATGCTGTACACCATAAATATATATAACTTTTGTCAATTAAAAAAATTTTTTTTGGGGGGGCTGAGCCCGTGGCGCACTCGGGAGAGTGCGGTGCTGGGAGCGCAGCAGGGCTCCCGCCGTGGGTTCAGATCCTATGTCGGGATGGCTAGTACGCTCACTGGCTGAGCACAGTGCGGCCGGTCTCAAAAAGGACAAAAAAAAAGAAAAAAAATTTTTTTTTTAAATTTCAGAAGGAATTATAAAATTACCAGACAAAAACAACACTTTAAAAGCACCAAAAGGTTGTATTTTAGTGCACTACTGTACTGAACAATGAGAAAAAAATTTAACCATGTAGTGACTTAAAATGATAATTTGTAAGGGGCAGTTGGGAGGGGCTCAGAATGACAGATTTTGGCACTTAATGACTTAATGCAGAAGAGAAAATGAGAAAGGTTTTACTTGATGCTTTTATGCAATTCCATTAAATGCAGAAAAGTAGTCAACTAAAAATTTCGGTCTAGCACTCTTCTCAAAACTGTATATACTGGAAAAATGACTGCTAACTCTCCGGGACATTAAAGTTTGATATAAAAGGGCTCTAAGATTTAAGAAGTTTAGGAAACGGTAAACTAAGCACATATTTTTACTGTACAATTTCTCAGAACCTTTAATATGGGGGTACTTCAAAAAGTTCATGGAACAGATCTGTATTATCTTTTAATTCTATTATTCTACGAACTTTCTAAAGTACCCTCGTATGCCACTAGGCATAATAATCTCAGAAAGGTGGTCATAAAAACAGTATTTGCTCATGGAATACTCCCCAAAACACCTTGCTTTTATCTAAGAACTTGAAAAATGCTGCTTCATAGCTATTAGCTAAAAACCCTATTGAAAGACCAATATTGTGCTTTATAGAAACAGAATAAAGAGTATTAATGAACTAACCAAAACAAGGTAGCCTATTTTAGAACATCCCGGAAAAT